AGGATCTAATGTACAAAAACATCCATAAAACAGTACAAAATCGTCTTAAAATATAAAAATACTTATTAAAATAATTTACATTAAAAATACCTACGATTAAAATACATCAAAATTATTATACCATGCACAGTTTTTTCCGTTTATTTCGTACTCTGATTTAGTTTATAATAAAATATATATTGTATGTATATACAAAATTGGTTACCGTATTTAATACAAATTTATAAAGCCAATTCGTAAAACTTACTGAAATGAAACGTCCATATATTGATTAGACTTAAGAGTGTTACATTCTTGGTCTCTGCTCTGGTATTGTGTAATGAAGTAGTACGTTTGTTGCTGACGTGGCATTAGAATTTTGTAAATCCGTTAATTAGCATATAATTAATTATGTAACCCGAAAGGACAGAAGTTTTAGAATAGTAATTAAATGGACTAACTTTGTATGAGAGAGATACTATTCATCAACATTAATACCTTTCGGCTGAAGGGCTTGTAATTTTTTAATCCAAAACGATTCTCTTCTCTTGATAACTGATTCTTGTTTATTAATGATAAGCTCAATACCTATAATTGATAGGCCTATATCTTCTATTGAATGATTAGCTTGATTAAAATGACAGCCAACTGGTAAGTTTTTACTTGATGGTATATCATGGTGTTTAATGTCTGATTTATAATTTGTGAATCTAGTGTAAAGGATGTAGTGGTTTTCCCAACGTACTGTTTACCACGTTTTTGACATGTGATTAAATAAATTAACCAATCCATTTGTCATGAATGAGTGTTGTGATTGGGAAGGACTGTCGGGCTACATTACTGATCAATTTCTTAGTTGTTTTAATAAATGGTCTGACAGAGCATTTTTTAGGGGCACTGAATATATATATACATATATATATATATATATATATATAGGCAAAATACTGAAAAACAGTGCTGTGAGAAACCTTTAATGGCTAAAACTCGTAGAGATACTAATTTGATAAGCAACAACTGAAAGGTAAACGTATGGTAAACAGCCAGGAATAGAACCAAACTTTCGGACAACACTATAGTCTTTCCTCAGTGGTGAGTGGCCTATGAATAAAATGTAATCTACATCGAGCTTCACCGTATTACTGCGCAAACTTCCATATTAGTTGTCCTACTTTACCGTGTCACATACGCTAATATCATATTGGCACCATATTATAGACCTACTCCTGATAAAAACCAATATATATGTATATGGTATATATTTAGTAATTATGCCGAAATCAATGATCTACATAGCAACCTGCTGTTATTAACGCATGTCTGGACGTCTAAGCTTTGTCTTGGTCCACTTGATAGTCAATTGAAATTGATTCATGATATTCATTTGGAAGTTGAACATCGACAAATTAGAATTGTCTTGTCCTTAATTCGTACTTGTTAAACTATCAAGAGGGTCTATTAAAATGGGTTGCACTGTTGTAAGTTTTTATATTCTGTGTTTAATAGCAGTAGTGTCACGTGATGTCGCTAGTTTATCCACAGGTAAGTTTTTATCTCTTATTACTTTCGTCAATAAGTAATTCTCATGACTCTATATCTGTATTATAGGCCTAATGTATTATCCTATTCACACAATATTTCGATGGCAGCATTTCGGTTTTAACGCATCACATCCCAGAATCTATGGGTATGCATTCATTAATATTCGGTACAACGTGCACAGTAGCTTGGATATGAATACATTTTATAACGTATGTTTTCTCTAAATTTAACTTTTCTTTGATTTTCCATCAACTTGCTGTTATATTTGTATTTTTCTAATCGTAATGTTATTTTTAATCCTTGAGTTCCTAAACGGACCGTATAACAAGCACGACGTGCGCTTTAGTTAATAAAGAAGTGTAGTGTATTGTATGTTTTGCCTTCTGGGGTCTTTTGACGCAACCTTAAAGCAATTTGATTACGATAAATCTCTAATTTCTAAAACATTGTTCACCGTATCAAATGTTATGTAACAAATGACTGTGACATGTCCTCAATTTATATTCCAAATACCAAAATTTGGAATAATGACAAAATTAAATCAAAAATCAAAATCATGCACATCTATGGACACATCACAAGAAATTTATCACATATGTGATAGTGTGGACAAAGATTAAGGTTTATAATAGGACCCATTCTATACAGCATCAATTCCATCCGTAAGTGTTGAGTGACAGCTCTTTTCTTAGAAATTTGTTGTGCTGAATTGCGTATGGGCGTAGTCCGTGAGTACCTAGCAGCCGTAAAGAGGCGTTTCATGGTAGCTACATGTTCATATCATTCCACAACGACACGGGCTGAAATGAACCATAACATCGGGGTAACCCCCTACTCTTCCGAAAGATGCAATGGGTTCTTTAAAATGCACACGAGCCAGATGTATAGGCCTACACTGTACCTCCATCTTAAACCCTTATCCGAGAAGACTTGGTTCTACCAACCAAACCGTGGGCGAGGAGGGGCTAGAACCAGAACCGATATTAAGGAGCTAGCGGCGTCCCTGCCCTACCGCTCGACCACTCGGCAATGATGATGATGATGCCAAAAATATTGATTCTTGGTGATTTTAATGGTAAGGTTGATAATACTATACCAAATTGAGATAAGTTTGTATATTGGGAAATGCTTGTATTTATTGTTTCTGTTTTGTATATTTTTTTCTTTCGTATAAGGATGCACCATCAATTTGATGTGTGCCGCTTATTTAAAAAGGATTCAAAGATATTGTAAAACTTCTAATAACAACCGATTACTCTATTAGTAACCCACGTTCAAATACCCACCCTTAAAGTTAATGTATAGTAATACTACTCTAATAAAAACCCACGGGATTACTATTAGAGTCACCAAAACTAACTAAGGACAAAATGACATTCAAATCAACATTTTTGTCGCTTAAACACGATTTACTTCTTAAGATAGGCATCACAATGTGATTGCGCCGTTGATGATCCTTTCTAAATTAACTTCTTGGTGATTTTGAGTTTATAATACAACAACCTATTTTTACTTGTACAGGAGTTTTATTTCTATGAATTCCTGACGCGAAAAGTGGGGTGTGTGGAGGTTTAATATTTTCAAGTGCCTTCATTGCTTAGTAATAGTAACCCACAACTCTAGTAATCCATACTTTAATAGAACCCACCCTAAAAAACACGATCAAAAATAATAACCCAGGGTTATTATTATTATAAATTTTACGGTAAAATCTAAATGGTAGTGATATGG